GCACAAGTGATTTCTGCACTGTTGTACTGCTGTCCAGTCACGGTTAAGTAGCTGAGGACCATCAGTGTGTTGTCCTTTTTGATGATGGTGGCCATGCTGTTGCCTTCTACGTACTGACCACCGTTCACTTGCCACATGATGTACACATTCGCAAGATCAGAGCTGCTGACCTCACAAACCAGGGACACCGAGTCAGAGTCACTGAAGGACTTTTCAGGCTTGTAAATGATAACAGAGGGACGCTGTCCTATATGGGAAAAGATCATATTTAAATTAGACGATACAAGATAAAGATACACACATTTCAGAAGAAGTGTTTTAATATGGTCTAAGAAGATTTGACTCCAGCAATAAAAGACTCACCTCCTTTTTTAACACTGATTTTGTCAGAGATTGTTCTTTGGTCTCTTGAGGTGGAGCAAATCACTTCTGTACCTGAAAACCAGACGGACTCTTCAAGGGTCAGTGTACTAATTTTGGTAAATGATGATCCTGCCTGTGTAACACCACCAACACGAACATTAAGAGACTCCTTTCTCAGGCCTGTAACTGTCCATGACACTTTTGCTTCTTTCACCTGCTTCTTATTATCACCAGTTATGACACACTCCATTACTGCTTTTTTGTTTATAAAAAGTTCCTTTGCTTGTGGTGGATTGATTTTCAGAGAGAACTGAGCTACATGAAAAAGAAAAACACATATTAGTAATATTAATAAGGAAAACAACAATAAAAATAATTATAGGTTAATTGATTGTGTGTTGATATCTGTATACATTAATGCATAGTATTGTGCAAATATCAGAGAAAAATGACCATGTTATTCATATATCTGGAGACATTTCTGAGGAGACTGGATGTAAGATAATTAACTTGCCTAAGGAAGAAGAATGTCAAAGGAAAATGGAAAATACAGGATTTTCCAAAAATGGAGTTCAGTCAGGACGACTTTAACAAAGAAAATATATTGTTTCCATTTGCAGTAAGATATATTTGGCGGTATTGCTCTGTTCTGGGACCTCCTTGCCATTCTGTATGCAGACATGGGCCGCAGAAGACCCCAACAACGACCAGGCCAAGCAAACCCGCAGCCAGCAGGAGGCTGCAAAGTGGCTTGCAGAGGAAATAAGCTAAAGCAGATTAAATTAACACCTTGACAAATTTAGCCAATCATTTGCATAGCAGGTGATCAGCTAAGCCATCAGCTAATTGAGATGAGCTAAAAACAGCTGGTGACTTGAGACTGGGGCCTGAGCTTGACTTCATGGTCTCTGTAAACTAACGCTATGCTCAATTTTAAATTATTACTAAACAAAAAAGAGACCTGGTAGACCAAGAACTGTCCCCCTCAGATAAACAGTAGTTAAGGCTTCCATCTTTGAGAAAGAGGAGAAAATCAAGGTCCCTTTTTGCTTTAATTATTGAGGGGTGTCTGTTCATCCTTTCCCTGTGAGAAAACAGTTGAATGCTATGGGTCTAACGGAATAAGCATTTACTGAGAAAAGGATTAAGTCATATACATATATAGAGTTTGTTTATATTCCCTTGACATTGAAAAATAAAAAAAAAGTGTGGCCTCTGACTTTTGCACAGTACTGTATAATTATATATCTGTGTAATTGTTATCATGCCTACATAACCATGAAGACACTAGATTACCTCTAGGTGACAGATCCTCTGTGTATGTTTTGCCCCCATGTGTGACTTCACAGGTGTATTTGGTGCTCAGACTCAAAGACGTCATACTATCATCAAGGACACTGACTTTTCTGTAAGACCCCGAGTCATTTTCTGTGGTTTTCCAGTCTCGGCCTCTGACTTCACGGTCATTCTTTTTCCACTTGATACTGAGGGTCTTTGGGTAGAAGTCCTCAATGATGCACATTATGGATTGGCCAAATTCCACCAGGCCGATTTTTGGTGGAGCGTTTGCTACAAAAATACAGAAAAAGCTGCTTAATTTAAGTGTGCTAAAACTCCAAGGATAAACAATACAAAACATGCACTTAAATGTAATGGTGTTGATTCTTTCAGATAGACTGACTGCCATGTTCTCCATACTGCATGTGTTTGTACCTTTATCCACAGCAATATTACTAACTTTACATTCCATTGTAAGCTCCAGTGTTTTGTACAGCAGGATTGATTATTTAATCAATATTTAATGAGCCATATGACTAATAGTACAAACATAGGCCTAGAGCTCCCCATCAACTCCATCAGAACACACTAAGCTACAAGTTATATTAGGAAATTGATGAGAAGTGACTTTACTCTTAGATGGTGAGCTCGTTCTCGGCTTGAAGTCATTCTGCAAGTTGGCATCTTTGACTGCACAAGCAATTTCTGCACTGTTGTACTGCTGTCCAGTCACGGTTAAGTAGCTGAGGACCATCAGTGTGTTGTCGTTTTTGATGATGTTGGCCATGCTGTTGCCTTCTTTGTACTGACCACCGTTCACTTGCCACATGACGTACACATTCGCATGATCAGAGCTGCTGACCTCACAAACCAGAGACACTGTGTCAGAATCCCTGACAGACTTGTCCGGTTTGTAAATGATAATAGAGGGACGTTTGTCTACAAGGGAAAAGATCATATTTAAATTAGACGATACAAGATAGAGATACACACATTTCAGAAGAAGTAATTTAAAGGGGACCTATTATGCCTTTCCTTTGGTGTGTTATGTAGCGTTTTCTGCATGTAAACAATCTGCAATGTTACAAAGCTCAAAGTGCATTTGAGAGCAAGAAACTCTCTCCCACAGAAACTGCCTTTCCCTGCTACTTGAAACGCCTGGTTGAAATTCCAGCTCTTTCTCTTTGTTACAAGATGATGCAAACTTGTAACACAAACTTTATTGCCCGCCTTCCAGCAAACTTGGCACGTCCCTACACAATGCAGAGCAACTACTAGAGGTGGGAAGAGTGTGTTCAGTGTTGTAGCCGAGTGGAGACGCTGACCTGACTTTCAGGATCGAACTCTGGCTCAAATTGCTACAGCAGAACCGATGCTATTGGAAAAACAGCCACAGGGGAGTTTACAGCTGTGCAGGAGAGAAGGGTCTGTGTGCAGACTGTAAGACAGGAGCGGAACTTGTAGTGGCGGTTGACAAATCAGAAAAGAGACGGTGAGCTGACCAATAAGAGCACACTGGGCTCATTGGGAGGCGGGGCCTGAAGACACAGTAGCTCTAACAGAGCATTTCAGACAGAGGGCGAATAGAGATGTGCAGTATGAGAAAAAATGTCATTTTTGTAAATTGAAGCATGGAAATGTATTCTAGTAGACCCTAAAAACTACTGAAAATGAGACAAGGTCCCTTTAATATGGTCTAAGAAGATTTGACTCCAGCAATAAAAGACTCACCTCCTTTTTTAACTCTAATTTTGTCAGAGATTGTTCTTTGGTCCACTGAAGTGTAGCAAATCACTTCTGAACCTGAAAACCAGGCTGACTCTTCAAGGGTCAGTGTGCTAGTTTTGGTAAATGCTGATCCTGCCTGTGTAACACCACCAACACGAACATCACGAGTTGCTGGGTTCCCTCCAACTGTCCATGACACTGTTGCTCCTTCCACCTGCTTCCTACTATCACCACTTAAGACACACTCGATTACTGCTTTTCTGTTTATAAACAGGTCCTTTGCTCGTGGTGGATTGATTTTCAGAGATGACTGAACTATATGAAAAAGAAAAACACATAGTATTAATATTATCAAGGAAAACAAAGTTAAGCAGAATCATAGATTCATTGATTGCACATTGATATCTGTATATATTGGTGTACAACACTATGCAGAGTCAGAGATCACAATTTTAATTGAATTTCCTGTCAACACAAACATTAAGTTATTTATTTTCCTGGAGACATTTCTGAGGAGATTACATACAAGATGTTCCACTTGCATAACGAGTCTCCATTTCTGGAGTTTAAATGATTAAATAAAGAAATGGAGAAAATGAGACTACTAAAAACCATGCAAGACCACCTGGTAGACCACAAAAACTGTCCCCATCTGATAAACAGTTGTTCAAGCTATCATCTATAAGAAAGAGCAGACAATCAAGCTCTACTCTTGCCAACTATGCCTTTACTGAGAAAAAGATTAAGCTATGTATACCGGCTTTCTGCATTTTTTCCCTGACACAGAAAAAGGAATTATGTAATGGCAGTTTCATCCATATAATCATATATGTGTTAAAAACATATGTGTTTAAAAGGCATTATGACTACATAACCATGACGGCACTAGATTACCTCTAGATGACAGATTTTCTGAGTATGTTCTGCCCCCATGTGTGACTTCACAGGTGTATTTGGTTCCCGGGCTCGAAGATGCCATATTTTCATCAAGGACACTGACCGCTCTGTAAGAACCCGAGTCATTTTCTGTGGTTTTCCAGTCCCGGCCTCTGACTTCATGGTCGTTCTTTTTCCACTTGATACTGAGGGTCTTTGGGTAGAAGTCCTCAATGATACACATTATGGATTGGCCAAATTCTAACACTCTGATCTTTGGTGGAGAGTTTGCTATTAAATAAAGAAACAGATGTGTAAGTTAAGTATAATAATGCTCCAAGGATAAACAATTCGAAGCAAGCAATTAAATGTGATGGTGCAAATAACATATTCCATGAGATTCTTTGTGGAATATTGACTAGCATGTTATCTCTCTTGCATGTAATATATAATATGTCTAACTTTAAGTTGTATTGTAAGCTTCAGTGGTTCGTACAGCTGTTTAATAAACAATACTTAACAATCCACATGACTAAGAGCTTAAATATATGTTTGATGTATATACAGCTTAAGTCACATAGTCATTTTTACTCTGTGCTCTAGTTAGCCACCATCAAACAGACTTGTTCTTTGTCTCTTACCACAGTAGCAAACTTCAGACAACAAACATGCCTTGGCTGATTGTGTGGGGTTAAGATGAAAAGATGAACAATCTAAGCTACAAGTTATATGAGAAAATCAATGACAGGTGAGTTTACTCTTAGATGGTGAGCTCGTTCTCGGCTGGAAGTCATTCTGCATGTTGGCATCTTTGACAGCACAAGTGATTTCTGCACTGTTGTACTGCTGTCCAGTCACGGTTAAGTAGCTGAGGACCATCAGTGTGTTGTCATTTTTGATGATGTTGGTCATGCTGTTGCCTTCCATGTACTGACCACCGTTCACTTGCCACATGACGTACACATTCGCATGATCAGAGCTGCTGACCTCACAAACCAGAGACACTGTGTCAGAATCCCTGACAGACTTGTCCGGTTTGTAAATGATAATAGATGGACGTTTGCCTAAATGGGAAAAGATGATTTTTAAATTAGACAATACAAGATAGAGATACACACATTTCAGAAGAAGTAATTTAAAGGGGACCTATTATGCCTTTCCTTTGGTGTGTTATGTAGCGTTTTCTGCATGTAAACAATCTGCAATGTTACAAAGCTCAAAGTGCATTTGAGAGGGAGAAACTCTCTCCCACAGAAACCGCCTTTCCCTGCTACTTGAAACGCCTGGTTGAAATTCTAGCTCTTTCTCTTTGTTACAAGATGACGCAAACTTGTAACACAAACCTTATTGCCCGCCTTCCAGCAAACTTGGCACGTCCCTACACAATGCAGAGCAACTACCAGAGGTGGGAAGAGTGTGTTCAGTGTTGTAGCCGAGTGGAGACGCTGACCTGACTTTCAGGATCGAACTCTGGCTCAAATTGCTACAGCAGAACCGATGCTATTGGAAAAACAGCCACAGGGGAGTTTACAGCTGTGCAGGAGAGAATGGGTCTGTGTGCAGACTGTAAGACAGGAGCGGAACTTGTAGTGGCGGTTGACAAATCAGAAAAGAGACGGTGAGCTGACCAATAAGAGCACACTGGGCTCATTGGGAGGCGGGGCCTGAAGACACAGTAGCTCTAACAGAGCATTTCAGACAGAGGGCGAATAGAGATGTGCAGTATGAGAAAAAATGACATTTTTGTAAATTGAAGCATGGAAATCTATTTTAGTAGACCCTAAAAACTACTGAAAATGAGACAAGGTCCCTTTAATATGGTCTAAGAAGATTTGACTCCAGCAATAAAAGACTCACCTCCTTTTTTAACCCTGATTTTGTCAGAGATTGTTCTTTGGTCCACTGAAGTGTAGCAAATCACTTCTGTACCTGAAAACCAGGCTGACTCTTCAAGGGTCAGTGTGCTAGTTTTGGTAAATGCTGATCCTGCCTGTGTAAAACCACCAACACGAACATCACGAGTTGCTGGGTTCCCTCCAACTGTCCATGACACCGTTGCTCCTTCCACCTGCTTCCTACTATCACCGCTTAAGACACACTCGATTACTGCTTTTCTGTTTATAAACAGGTCCTTTGCTTGTGGTGGACTGATTTTCAGAGATGACTGAACTATATGAAAAAGAAAAACACATAGTATTAATATTATCAAGGAAAACAAAGTTAAGCAGAATCATAGATTAATTCACTGCACATTGATATCTGTATATATTGGTGTACAGCACTATGCAGAGTCAGAGACCACAATTTTAATTTAATTTCCTGTCAACACAAACATTAAGTTATTTATTTTCCTGGAGACATTTCTGAGGAGATTACATACAAGATGTTCCACTTGCATAACGAGTCTCCATTTCTGGAGTTTAAATGATTAAATAAAGAAATGGAGAAAATGAGACTACTAAAAACCATGCAAGACCACCTGGTAGACCACAAAAACTGTCCCCATCTGATAAACAGTTGTTCAAGCTATCATCTATAAGAAAGAGCAGACAATCAAGCTCTACTCTTGCCAACTATGCCTTTACTGAGAAAAAGATTAAGCTATGTATACCGGCTTTCTGCATTTTTTCCCTGACACAGAAAAAGGAATTATGTAATGGCAGTTTCATCCATATAATCATATATGTGTTAAAAACATATGTGTTTAAAATGCATTATGACTACATAACCATGACGGCACTAGATTACCTCTAGATGACAGATTTTCTGAGTATGTTCTGCCCCCATGTGTGACTTCACAGGTGTATTTGGTTCCCGGACTCGAAGATGCCATATTTTCATCAAGGACACTGACCGCTCTGTAAGAACCCGAGTCATTTTCTGTGGTTTTCCAGTCCCGGCCTCTGACTTCACGGTCGTTCTTTTTCCACTTGATACTGAGGGTCTTTGGGTAGAAGTCCTCAATGATACACATTATGGATTGGCCAAATTCTAACACTCTGATCTTTGGTGGAGAGTTTGCTATTAAATAAAGAAACAGATGTGTAAGTTAAGTATAATAATGCTCCAAGGATAAACAATTCGAAGCAAGCAATTAAATGTGATGGTGCAAATAACATATTCCATGAGATTCTTTGTGGAATATTGATTTGCATGTTATCTCTGTTGCATGTAATATGTAATATGTCTAACTTTAAGTTGTATTGTAAGCTTCAGTGGTTCGTACAGCTGTTTAATAAACAATACTTAACAATCCACATGACTAAGAGCTTAAATATATGTTTGATGTATATACAGCTTAAGTCACATAGTCATTTTTACTCTGTGCTCTAGTTAGCCACCATCAAACAGACTTGTTCTTTGTCTCTTACTACAGTAGCAAACTTCAGACAACAAACATGCCTTGGCTGATTGTGTGGGGTTAAGATGAAAAGATGAACAATCTAAGCTACAAGTTATATGAGAAAATCAATGACAGGTGAGTTTACTCTTAGATGGTGAGCTCGTTCTCGGCTGGAAGTCATTCTGCATGTTGGCGTCTTTGACAGCACAAGTGATTTCTGCACTGTTGTACTGCTGTCCAGTCACGGTTAAGTAGCTGAGGACCATCAGTGTGTTGTCGTTTTTGACTGTGGTGGCCATGCTGTTTCCTTCTTTGTACTGACCACCGTTCACTTGCCACATGACATACACATTCGCATGATCAGAGCTGCTGACCTCACAAACCAGGGACACTGTGTCAGAGTCACTGACAGACTTATCAGGCTTATAAATGATAATAGAGGGACGTTTGTCTACATGGGAAAAGATCATATTTAAATTAGACGATACAAGATAGAGATACACACATTTCAGAAGAAGTGTTTTAATATGGTCTAAGAAGATTTGACTCCAGCAATAAAAGACTCACCTCCTTTTTTAACCCTAATTTTGTCAGAGATTGTTCTTTGGTCCACTGAAGTGTAGCAAATCACTTCTGTACCTGAAAACCAGGCTGACTCTTCAAGGGTCAGTGTGCTAGTTTTGGTAAATGCTGATCCTGCCTGTGTAAAACCACCAACACGAACATCACGAGTTGCTGGGTTCCGGCCTCCAACTGTCCATGACACTTTTGCTCCTTCCACCTCCTTCCTACTATCACCACTTAAGACACACTCGATTACTGCTTTTCTGTTTATAAACAGGTCCTTTGCTTGTGGTGGATAGATTTTCAGAGATGACTGAACTATATGAAAAAGAAAAACACATAGTATTAATGTTATCAAGGAAAACAAAGTTAAGCAGAATCATAGATTCATTGATTGCACATTGATATCTGTATATATTGGTGTACAGCACTATGCAGAGTCAGAGACCACAATTTTAATTGAATTTCCTGTCAACACAAACATTAAGTTATTTATTTTTCCTGGAGACATTTCTGAGGAGATTACATACAAGATATTCCACTAGCATAATGAGTCTCCAAAAATAAAGTTTGAACGAATAATAAAAGAAATAAAGAAAATGAGACTCCTATGCAAGACCTAGTAGACCAACAACACTGTCCCCTCTGATAAACAGCACTTAAACTTTCATCTTTGAGAGAGAGGAGAAAATCAGCCTCCACTCTTGCTCAGTTTAATCAAGTGTTTCTGTCCATCATTTCTCTGAGAGAAGACACCTGACCCCTTACTGAGAAAAACATTAAGTTACATATAAAGGTTTTCTGTCTTTTTCCTGACACTGAAAAGGGAATGATTTAAAGGCAGTTTCTTCTAGTCTCATTTAGTGTCGTCTATCATCTAACAATTCTGACTTTTACACAGTACCGCATAATTATATACCTGTGTTTTAAATGTTATTATGCCTACATCACCATAATGGCACTAGATTACCTCTAGATGACAGATTTTCTGAGTATGTTCTGCCCCCATGTGTGACTTCACAGGTGTATTTGGTTCCCGGACTCGAAGATGCCATATTTTCATCAAGGACACTGACCGCTCTGTAAGACCCCGAGTCATTTTCTGTGGTTTTCCAGTCTCGGCCTCTGACTTCACGGTCATTCTTTTTCCACTTGATACTGAGGGTCTTTGGGTAGAAGTCCTCAATGATACACATTATGGATTGGCCAAATTCTAACACTCTGATCTTTGGTGGAGAGTTTGCTATAAAACAGAAAAGGTTGCTCAATTTAATGTGCTAAAACTCCAAGAACAAACAATTCAATGCATGCAAATAAATGTGATGGTGTAAATAACATATTCTAGGAGACTGTTTTAGAAATATTGACTACCCTATTATCTATATTGGATGTATTTCTACCCTTATACTCAGCAATATGACTAACTTCTATTGTAAGCTTCACTGGTTTGTAGAGCTGTTTAATAAACAATATTTAATGATCGACATGACAGATAAAACACAGGCCTTGAGCTCCATGTCATCTCCCTACTCTAATAGAAGATACAAGGGTAACACTTTACTAGAAACCTGCTACATAACATTGACATAACCATGCCAGAAACATGTCATGGAAGATGTCATATCCTGTCATGAGTGTTCAAGAAACATTTTCTTCAGTAATATATCAGCGTTGTGTTGTCATTACTGGTATTTGTTATGATGCCATAACGTTTGATGTATATAGAGCTTAAGTCAATATAGTAATTTTTGCTCTGTGCTCTAGTTATTCATCATCAAACAGACTTGTTCTATGTCTCTTACTCTTAGCTACAAGTTATATTAGGAAATGAATGAGAGGTGACTTTACTCTTAGATGGTGAGCTCGTTCTCGGCTGGAAGTCATTCTGCATGTTGGCGTCTTTGACAGCACAAGTGATTTCTGCACTGTTGTACTGCTGTCCAGTCACGGTTAAGTAGCTGAGGACCATCAGGGTGTTGTCCTTTTTGACGATGGCGGCCATGCTGTTGCCTTCTTTGTACTGACCACCGTTCACTTGCCACATGACGTACACATTCGCATGATCAGAGCTGCTGACCTCACAAACCAGAGACACTGTGTCAGAATCCCTGACAGACTTGTCCGGTTTGTAAATGATAATAGAGGGACGCTGTCCTACATGGGAAAAAAAATCATATTTAAATTAGACAATACAAGATAGAGATACACACATTTCAGAAGAAGTGTTTTAATATGGTCTAAGAAGATTTGACTCCAGCAATAAAAGACTCACCTCCTTTTTTAACACTGATTTTGTCAGAGATTGGTGTTTGGTCTCTTAAGGTGGAGCAAATCACTTCTGTACCTGAAAACCATTTTGACTCTTCAAGGGTCAGTGTGCTAGTTTTGGTAAATGCTGATCCTGCCTGTGTAAACACCACCAACACGAACATCACGAGTTGCTGGGTTCCCTCCAACTGTCCATGACACTGTTGCTCCTTCCACCTCCTCCTGATTATCACCAGTTATGACACACTCCATTACTGCTTTTTTGTTTATAAAAAGGTGCTTCGCTTGTGGTGGATTGATTTTCAGAGAGAACTGAGCTACACACACACAAAAAATGCACATTATTGAGACTAATAGTAAAAGGATATTACATTGAATTAAAGGTTAACTGACTGCTTTGATATCTGTAAATGTTGATGTACTGTATTGTGCAAAATTCAGAGACTGTCATTTATTTCATTTCTATTCAAAGTGGCCATTACATACAAGTTACTTATTTATCAGGAGATATTTCTGAGGAGATTTCATATAAAATAATACACTTGCATAAAAAAGTAGAAAATCAAATAGGAAATAAGTGAATGTGTTCCCATCAGATAAAGAGTAACCAAAGCTTTCATCTTTGAAAGAGAGGAGAACATTAAGCCCCACTATTGCTTAATATACACACAGGTGTTTCTGACCATCCTTCCACAATTCAGTGCTGTGGGTCTGAAAGGATGTGTAGCTGTAAAGAAGAACCTCACAACTACATAACCATGATCACACTAGATTACCTCCAGGTGACAGAGCCTTCTTGTATGTTTTGCCCTCATGTGTGACTTCACAGGTGTATTTGGTTCCCGGGCTCGAAGACGTCAGATTTGCTTCGAGGACACTGACCGCTCTGTAAGAACCCGAGTCATTTTCTGTGGTTTTCCAGTCTCGGCCTCTGACTTCACGGTCATCCTTTTTCCACTTGATACTGAGGGGCTTTGGGCAGAAGTCTTCAATGACACACATTATAGATTGACCATGTTCCACCAGGTGGATGGTTGGTGGAGAGATTTCTATAAAATAAAGGAAAATTTGCTTGATTTAACTGAAGATGAGCTCCAAGAATAAATGATAGTAAACATCCACTTAAATGTGATGTTGTACATGAAACATTTCAGGAGATTCTGTCAGAAATATAGACTTCCATGTTATACAAATTGCACATATTTGCACACTTATTCACAGCCATATGACTAAATGTAGGTCCTGTCGTAAGCTCCAGCAATTTGCACAGCTTGATAATAAATTCTAATTAATTATCCACATGATGTATAGTTTAGACTTTGGTCAAGAGCTCTGAGAAAATCAAGCTCTACTCTTCTTCAGATCTGTGACAAGACAACTCAACACATGGGCCTGAATGGATGTATTACTGTCAGGAAGACTTCACTGAGAAAAGGAAAGGAAAGGCATTTGCTAATTAAATAAAGAATCTGCTGTTGTTCTGAGAACAGTGGACTAGCCACCCCTGTGTCTGGACAGCACACTGAGAACAGCACAGCAGGCAGCTGAGAGGAGACAACCACTCACTTCAGATGTGTTACCGGTGGCCAAGTCAACAAAAGGGGAAGAAAATGACTCTGGGTTGTCTTGGAGGGTCTGAACCGAGTTCTGGCTTCCACTGGCAAAGAAAGAGGCCACAGAGCAGAAAATAAAGGAGGAATCAGGAGTCATCAAACCACCAAGTATCCCCAGGGTGGTGCCGGTGATCCTAGAGATGAAAAAGGATGGCAGCTGGCATTTCTGCATGGACTACTGGTGGCTGAACGCTGTCACAAAACCCAACTTATGTCAACTCCTGTGCAATCATGATGCTTTAGATCGGCTCACTGGATCCATGTGGTTCAGCTTTCTGGACCTGCCGAGTGGGTATTAGCAGGCAACACTCACTCCAGATGGCAGAGAAAAGACAGTGATCTCACTGGGCACTGGGCTATGGCAGTTTACAACCACTGTTAAGCATTGGCCATGTTCAAGTGGCTAATGTAGTAAGTGCTCACTGATATCTCCAATGAGAAGTGTATTGTCTACCTTAATAACATATCGGTCCACGCACCTAATTTTGACGTCACGTTCACAGACTTGGAGCAGATATTCCAGGCTATCAATTCTGCAAACATCTGGCTGCATACAAAGTGGCCCATGAGTTTCCTGGGCCATGTGGAGAGCAATGCAGGAGTAGAAACAGACCCAGTAAAGGTGGACATGGTGCAGCAGTGGCCCACTCTGTGGTGTTTTTGTGAGATGTGAAGCTTTCTTGGTCTGGCCTCATACTACTGGTGTGCGTGGGTTTACCGACATAGCCCCACAATCACACTGATAAAAAAGGGTGCTGCCTTACAATAGGATGAGAGAGCTGAAGATGCATTTGCTGCCCTCCTGGTATTCCTCAGGGCAGACGTTGAGTTCGTTGTGGACACAGACACCAGCGAAAAGGGCATCAGAGCTCTTCTCTTGCAAGTACAGTACAGGAATGAGAGCGTCATTTCATACTACAGCCAGCATTTGAGGAACCCAAAGCACAAATACTGCATGACACAAAGGGATCTGCTGGTCTTCATGGTGGTACTGCTCCATTTCTGCCCTTACATGTGCAGAGTTCCCTTCGTTTTGTGCACTGATCATGTCTTGTTGACCTGGGTCATGAAGTTCAAAGAGCCTGAGGGTTAGGTAATATGGTACCTACTTCACCATCCTGCACCATGCTGGGTGCATGCATACTAAGAAGAGCGCTGCTGCTGTTGCTGTCCCTACTTGTGGCCCCAGTCTTAATGTGGCGAGCTCCAAAGAGATCTGCTGTGGCCAGGAGGAGGATGTTAAACTCTCCTGGGCATATGATTGGCTCCAACCGGGGTGCAAACCAGTTGTGATGCCACATGGGTCCACTGCTAAGGTGCTTCGCCGAAGCACAACTTCTGTGCTGTGTGTGGGAGGAACCAGTGCCTGGGAAGTGCATGTGGCAGCTGCTGGCAGCACACAGGTAGTGGAAGATGGTGCTAAGTGCAGTGGAGTGGCTGGTGTGGGACACTTCTACGTGGGGAAGACCCTGAAGCGTTTACAGCAAAGGTTCTAGTGATTGGGCTGCTGCATAGGCATGGAGCTGTACTTGCATTGCTGCAACCTATGCATAGCAAGGAAAGGACCACAACAGCTGTTGAATGTTCCACTGCAGTCCCTCTGTCCTGGGCCCCTTCCTCATTATTTATGCCAGGAATCATTGTCTTTGTGGCCATAAATTATTTCACAAAATGGCCTTAGATGTATGCAGTCCTGGATCAGGGTGTGGACATGATACCAGACTGGCTAGTTGAGGTGTTCTTCTTCTGCTTTGGAGTGCAAGAGGAACTTCACAGTGACCAGGGACATAACTTGGAGGTGGCAGTCATGGCTGAGGTCTTTGACCTGCTGGGTATTTGCAAGACTATACTGCCCCACGCTCACAGCGACGACCTTGTGTAGCATTTTAATCAGACACTCATTACTCAGCTCACCATCATCATTGACCAGCACCAGCATAATTCGGACCGACACATACATTGCAGGAGGTGACCCCAGCTCTTCTTCTGTTCAGCCGTGAGCTCAGGACACCCACAGAGCTGGTGTTCTATTTCCTGCCAGAGTCGGAGGAGGACAGTGCACCAGGAGCACGGTATGCTGAGGAGCTCCGCCACCGTTTTTATGCAGTGCTAGGAACCACCAAGGCATGGTCAGTGCTATTCAAAAATGGACATACGACTCCCACTGCCAGGGATGGCCTTTTTCCACTCGCTCCATGTTTCAGAAGGGGCTTTAGGGGCAAGGTATTAAAAGCTGTGGCCCCCCACTGCCCCTCATTAGAAGAACAATTGTTTTGCTATTCTTGTTATTGTTAATGTTATCATTGTTGGATTTAGACGCGATAACGTGTTTGACTGTGCTTTATTGTGTTGGGCTGTGGGTTAGTTAAGGAGAACTGCAGGCAAGAGTAAGTGTCACCAACATCTGTAGTTAATTTAATGGTGTAATTGGGAGGTTTTTCTGAAATGCTTACCTACAACATTAACAGTTTTCTCCTCAGGTAGATCATCACATGGCTGTTTAACTCTGCATGTTACATTCTGATGTTGTTCCCATTCTCTTGCTGGCAGAGTCAGTTTGCTAACAATGAGCCGAGTGTTGCTGTTGGGTCGTTGGTCTGTTGTCTCCGCATTGGCTTTTTTCTCCATATTTCCATTCAGAAACCATGAGACTCTGGAGTTGGGCGCAGCTTCAACAACACAAGAAGCTGTTACTGCTGAATCTGGCTGTAGGGACGGATCTGAGAGACGAGGTTTCTCCAGATGTATCAGTGGTTTGACTGGTGGATAAGCTGAAAATCGAAGAGAATATAATATCCAGTTAGTAATTTAAAAGCTTTTAGGGTGGGAAGGATTACTTTAAAAATGTATTCCAGTACAGATAACTTATTACAGATTAAACAAAAATTATCTGCAACATAATTAAAAAAAAAATATTACATTAACGAATGTAATCCAATTACTTTCAATTACTCTCTGTTAATTTGTCTTGTTATAGTCACATAATTAAAAACAGCAGTAGAAAAATAATTTCAACAAGATTGCTTTAAAATAACACAGGGCAAATGGGAAAACTGCTTTGTTTCATGAAGTAAAACAACAGTTTATAGGTTACTTAATTGTCAGTGCTGTACCAAAAGGTCAGTCTGGCAGACCTTTTATTTTGGGACCCTTCACCTCAAAATCCCAGTTGTTGTTTAACTTAGATAACCACTCTGTACAATTGTGCTGCCAGAAAAGCTTCTTAGAATATGCAATATTTCTTGATGAGGATGGACTTAAACAGCAGAAGACCATGTCAGGTTCCACTGCTGTCAACCTGAAATAGAAAGCTCAGGCTGCAATGGGCACAAGCTCACCAAAGCTGGACAACTGAAGACTGGAAAGATGCTGGTCTGATGAATCTTGATTTATGCTGAGGCACACAGACGATAGTGTCATAATTTTGGTGCAAACAACGTGAATCCATGGACCTAACCTGCCTTACATCAATAGTCCAGGCTGGTGGAGGTGATGCAAAGGTGTGGGGAATGTTTTCTTGACACACTTTGGGCCCATTAATACCAATCAGTCATCGCTTGAATGCCACGGCCTATTTGAGTATTGTTGCTGACCCTGTGCATCCCTTCATGGCCCTAATTTACCATCAACAATGAATTTAGTGTTCTTCAGTGGCCTGCCCTTGTCACCACTTCTGAATCCAGTAGAACACCTTTGGGATGTGATAGAACAGGAGATTCACAGCATTAAAGTGAACCTGAAAAATCTGCAGGAATTGCATGGCGCAGCTAGTATTCGATTAGTAAAATGGCTATTCAGGAATTTGTAGTGTTTCATCACACAAAGACAAATAAAATAAACAGGTTAACAGTTTAATGAAGTGCAGTGGTTTTGCTCATATCATGCTATGTTTTGCCACCCAAAAACATGAGTGCCTCGGGCTGGGAAGGAAGAGGTTCTTTTTAAATACTTTTGGCAGTGTTTTTTCTTTGCAGCTAAACAGATATTAAAGCATGTAAAAAGAAAGGGGAAAAAAGTATTTTTTATATTTTTTAATTTTCTGACAGTTGTTGTGGCTGTGAATTTTCAGGCTAACAATAATGCAAATGACACAATATGTTCACTTAATTCAGCTAGGTAAATAGTCAGGGCAAACAAAATTCTGGACAGGTTTTCTGCAAGTGAGCAGCCAAACATATTGCATGAAACTGTACTGAATGTTTATGCTATATAGAATAACTATAACCAACATCAAATATGTTTTAGTTACTGACGAAATGTTGGTGTATACCACCTCTTGCCTGGCACTGACATAAATTTGGAGGCACTAGTAGAACGGATAAGTAATGGCTACTATTAAAGAAAATGAGAAGTTTCTGCATTGTTCATTGATATGTAATGAAATTTGCAACTGGCAATTAACTCTATGTGGAAAAAAAAGAATATTGTACCATAACATAACAACATTTCCAAGCAGAATTTTACTGGGGGGGCGGGGGCATTGATCTGTGGATTGCTGATGAATCCCGATCTACAGTTCCTTCTACCAATGTTCTATTGTCTTTAAGTCTTGTAATCGACTGGACAATTCCAACAACTTTATTTTCTTCCTATGCAACCAATAGATTCGTTTTTTGCAGTGTGTTTTGGATCATTGTCCTGCTGGAAGGTCCACCTATGTGTCATCCTCTTTGTCCTGGTGGATGGTAACGATTTTTCCCAAACATTTTCCAGTACTTTGCTCCATTCATCTTCTCTTTGATCATTTGCATTAGTACTATGACATAAGAAACCGCCTCATACCATGAAGCTTCCACCTTTGAACTTCACTGTGGGCATCTGTAAGTTCATATGCAGAGTCCTTTCTCTTCCAAACATGGCACAATACATTGTTGCCCAAAACATTTGATTTTTTTCATGCCTGACCATGCTTTACTCTCCCAGTCAGCTACAAGCTTCTCCAAAAGTTCTGTGGTGAAATTGAAACAAGCTTCTGTGGTGGAAAAATGCAAATCTGTGTCTGACATTAGAATCACTGTGCATAACCGTCTGACACGTCTGATTCACTTCTGACAAAATCTGATTGAAACATGTCTAGTGTAGATCTGACAGCAGGAAAGGCCTCAAAGCAGAAAAAGAGGAAGGGGACTTTGCACATTTTAGAAAACATCTTAGAAGTGCTGATGTTAGCAAGAACAAACTGTTCTTGACGTTAACCCCTTACATAGGGAAGTTGTCATTAAAATACAAGAGGAATTGCGTCCTCGCCTCACAGAAAGAAGAGAGGAGGTGCAGGTTTATATATATATATATATATATATATATATATATATATATATATATATATATATATATATATATATATAAATCTTTGTGTGTTTTAATGAACTAGGAGTTTCGCGAGAATACAGTTTCTCTGTGTGATCATTGTCTTGACTTCCCCTTGGGCTCAAGTAAGGGTTGGTCTTCCTAACTGGGTCTATTATATATAAATTTTAACTTTCCACTCATTGGGAAATCCATCTGTAACTAGTGTCATTGCTAAACTGCACAACGGTCTTTTTGTGAAAATCTAGAGAAGGCTTATTATTCAGTAACTACAGGAACTTTAAACTCCTTAAAAGCACAGGCCTTTTAAAGAGTTCATGGTTGGATTTTTCTCATTTTTCAGTGTGAGATTAAGCAAATTCACCAAAAGCTGAATTTCTTATAACCCTTGATACTCATCTTTACCAGGGGTGCCAGCAATAGTGGAAGGGGCTGAAACCTAATAACATACTGTATTCTGATTTGACAAAATCAGTTGTGTAAGTATACATTTTGTAGCTGTGTGTTGGGATCGGAAGTAGACCTACCTTCAATAACCAGCTGATACATGCCTTTTGATGTGCCGGTGGAATCAAATGTATCTAAAAAGTATTTTCCTGAGTCTCTTTTCTCTGCACTGCTTATTATCATTGTTCTGTTATTACTAACAAACTGCCATCTTGGATAATCTGAATGGGTTTTTTGTAATCCTTTGATGTTTAAATTTGAAAATGCGATAAACAGTATTAGTTTCACTGTCGTTTTCTTTAAGTCTAATTCATACTCAGATGGCAGCTGCAGGTGCAGTGGGCATCCCACAACTGCATAACATGGGTCAGTAAAATTGCAGTCGATCACGGACGAGCCTGTAAAGAAAGACAAACATTAATCTGTCATTAATCTGATACAATCTAACACAATCAGGTTAATCTCAGTATTTAACTCTGACATTCAACAGACACTGTTATTAACAGTTGTAATTGAATACTGAGGTACAGTTCACAGTAGATCAATTAAAAATAATATTCAAGAAGGAAGTCAATAAGTGTTTTATTGACCACAGCAAAGATTTTGACTGTCAACCACATACAATTTTGGAACTCTGTGGTAAAGTGTTTCACTGTGGCAAAATAATGAAATGAAACTGCTAAAACAGGAAAACAAGCTGATGCTAAATATATATGATCAGGTTTTTGATCTCTGCATTTTTCAAGAGTGGAAAATAATTAATTGCAAATCATTAGTGCACTTAAGTATTATTTTTAGTAGATTTGTAGTTTTATTTATCTGTTTGATTGTTGTCAATACCTGCTGGCAACTTGCTGCTCTTCTTCTTTATCTATTGTACTATCATTGAATGCGTTTACATGCACTTAATAATCTGATAACTGCAGAAAATCAGATTATGTCAGTAATCCAGTCATTTACATGCACTTGAGTAAACTCAAGGTCTACATGAGTCAGACAGTGATCAGATTTCTGCTTTGCCACCGGCCAAGATGACGTGCTATAAAACTCAAACTTCATGCTGTGGCTTTTTTTTAAAAAAACATTGCGAAGCTTTACCTGAAAATAAGAACATACATCATCTAGAAGCTGAAGAATATTTAAACCCTTTTTGTCAAGTATGTAGTTGGTTTCAGCGTCGCTCCAAATGTGTTTTGCTGCCATCTCACGGGTGCTGTGGTAATACTGTGGTAATACTGTGGTAATACTGTGTAAATACTGTGTAAATATGCTGTGTGATATTTTTTTACTTTCACTCAAGTCATGACCATAACTAGTATGAGGACACTGAGTATGGAAGGGCTTTATAAGATTAGTGTGGACGAAATAAGGAGACAATCAATACTGGTTCTCAGTTGACCTCAGAACAGCTATGGTTTGGCCATAGATTTAACTGCCTGTTATTTTTATCTCTGTATGAGATGCTATGCTAACCAGAGTGACTTTGGGCTAAACCCTGTTTGGTGGATACTTAGTATATAAACAATCCTATCGATAGATATATCGAAAAGAATGAGAGTTTATGAGGGCAGTTAACAAATTATGCTTATGAAATGCAAACCTCTTTTTTTTTGGACTGCTTGTCAGCTTAAGCAGCATGCTTTAGTCTATCTCCAGTAGCTGCTCAGTTTAGGCAACAAGATCTGTAGTTGGCTATATTAATGGTCAAATGAGAAATGAATGGTAGTTCAGAGTTGTTATATCGTGTTATCTACTCATAACATACTACAAAGAGCATAAGGATGTTCTCTGTAAACTAGCTTATTGATGGCACTTTATGATCTTAATTAAGATATCAGCAGGTATGTTAGTGTAGTTTGTCTCATTAACTGTATGAGTAGTCTACCTTCCCCATCAGCTCGGGTTTGGTAAAGAGAGCCACTTATAATGCATTTTTACTGTCAGCTTTTTATTAATCAGTGAGCGAGAGAGAGAGAGAAAGAGGGAGAGAGAGAGAGAGAGAGAGGGAGAGAG